GGGCTGCCAGTGTTTATAGGCACCGAGCTATACATTGGAGAGAGGGCACTGCAGCACATTTCACAAAATACGTTGTTCTGTATCACAGATAGGGAATCTGTTCCCTCAAAGCAGAAAATGGTCCCTCTTATCAGGTATCTTGTCTCTCACTGGTCAAGGCTGGGTATTTCATAGGGAGGCAGAAACCTTCACAAAGCATCTAAGCCTGCACAGTGACCCCAGAGAAAGCTGTTCCTTCCTGACAGCCACTGAGGCTCACTTCCCACTGCTGCCTGTATCAGCTTATGCTCTGAAGCATGAGGGTTGAAATCCCAAATTCCTTTTATTCTGCCTTCTAGAATTGCAGCCTCCAGCTTCTTTCACAGAAATTTCTCATCCTTGTTTTTAAAACTCACCTTAATACTATTTTGCCACTCAGTTCCCCAGGTAGAGCTTACATAAAAATCAATCATAGACCTTATGGCAATGTCCTGTATGCAGTACAGTAAACTGCATACTGCATTGTTTGGTATTAAAAAGCTGGCTGTTACTGCCAATGAATATACCCGTGCCATGTGTACCAATGGGATGCATGCCCATATGGACCTGCAGCCTCTGGTTCTTTCTGGGATGCCTTTAGTTTTTCCTGGTCTTTTCCCTCCAGTCCTTTTTTCCTTTGCTGCTGGAGTTTGTCCCATGCTTCATATTCCAGGTTGCTTGGTGGCGCACCCAGGGCGTGAGTCCTCTCTCCTTGGGGGCGGGCAAGACTTTGACCTCCTCCTGCACTGCTCTATTTGAGAATTGTCACAGGGAAAGAGGACACATCCCTGATGCCTCTGCACAGAATTTCCCTGAGCTGTCATCCAGGGGAAATGGCTGACTTTTCACCTGTAGATGATGGGTAGTGTAGGAAGAAGGGATCCTGTGACCTCCTCTGACTTCCTCCACATACACAATGGGGATGGGAAAAAAAGTAGTTCCAGTGCTCTAGTACAGTGGTTCCCAAACTCTGACAGATTGTGCACTACCAATTTAAAACAATACAACTTTAAGTACTACCAGAAAATTTTTGTCATATAAAGTAATTATAATAAATCTGTTAACGTGTACCACTGATAGGTTGTCTGCGTACCACTGGTGGTACCTGCACCACATATTGGGAACCACTGCTCTAGTCTGTTCCCAGGCTTCCCCTGTGCAAAGGGCGCTTTGTGAGGAGACTGAGATGGCGTGGGGGATGGCAGGGGGCCTAGGAGATCCATTCCAGTTTTCTTCCCAGTCTTCCCATGCTGCTTGCAGGAGCCCCTCAATCCTTGGGTGAGGGTGAAAGAGTACAGGATCCTTGGGGGGTTCAGTCTAGGACTAAGTGCAAGTGGTTTCCCTGTGCGCCAGTGGGTTTAGCCTGCCCGACACCCCAGGATGTGGCAGCCTGGTGCAGAGCCCCTTTCCCTGGCTTTCCGGTTGTGTGTCTTGAGAGGGCCATGTAGGATGGATGATGCTGCATAGCACAAATGGAAGACAATGGCAACGACTGTGCCACTAGAGGGCACCCCAGTGATGCATTGTGTGCTATGGGAACAGCAGTTTCCACTAAGGCGGTGGGCTCTGGCTCCTTGAAATGAGCTGCCAGTGGGAGCAGTGCATCCTGTCCTCTCCGTCATACTGGGAAGCAGAGACATCATTAATTGAGTAACATCATTAGGGAGCATACAGCGGAAGCCAGAGGGACATCTCTGTGTCTGCAGAAACTGCGACTGCTTAGGCAGTGTCAGAGTCATGAAGGCAACTCGGCTAGAGGCAATGTTTTTGTAGGAGTGCCCAGCCCTGCCCAGAAAGCACTCCTCTTATGCTGTGGGTCTGTGCCCCAGGCCAGCTCTGGAGCTGGTAGCAGGGGAGCAACAAGGATACACTGAGCTGTGTCTGGGACTTTACTGGGGACCATCAGGTATACTGGGAAAATACTTCCCAATGCAGCAAACAAATCTCAAAGCTGTGAGAGTCCATCTATGCAGAAGAC